CGTAGCGTTTCATCCTCACATTGATTTATTGCCATACAGTAATTGCTCCTCTGTCTGTGTGACCAGCCCGTCGTTGTGCATGTTTTTTGGGCATGTATGCGTGCGAGTCTGTTCCTCTCTGTGTATGTGCATTTGCGCGTGCTGGGAATGCCTGCAAGCAAAGAAACACTCAATGATGGCGCCAGATGTTTGAGTCACTTAATTACAAAAGGCAAGGCTGTTATCCAAATCGATACCATTACAGACTTCAGCACTGCCAGTTGACCATTACAATTAAAGTGACTTGTTGCTACTCTTCCTCGCCACCCCCCCCCCCCCCCCCCCATGTTATCACATCAGTCAAATGTCCGCTTGGCTTGTTCGACAAATGGATGTCGCGCAGTGCTCCAGTTAACGTGACCAAAGTTTGTGAGCACATTTAAGTCACATTGCAAGCTATCGGCAGACAAATTGCGAACGAGGTTCCCTATCGTCTGTGTGCTGTGTGTGTTCTTAGCTCCTAAGTGCGGGGATGCTGCCGTGGTTGCAATGGTTAGCGCACAGGAACCTGCCACCCAGAGGTCGCCTGATCGATCTCTCAGCGTGGCAGTTGAAAGAATGGCGCAAGTTTCTTAAATTCTCCCGGCCTCTGTCCGCTGACCAATATAAATGTGTGCCACCACGGGTGGTCGATCGGCATTCCACGTGTGGTGGGATGAAGTGCGCGTACTTTCACCTCTCCCAAGATGCCTGACCAGCGTAGAAGAGTAGGCAATGTATATATTCTGAATGGGGGCTCTCTAAATATCCCTCTGGTGGAGGCCCGTCATCGACAGTGGCCTGAGCAAGTCATTGCAATGGCTGCACCTTTTAAGTTGGAGTAAGAAGACATTAAAATATGCGGTACAAAAATGACGGTTTGAACTTTATAAAAAAACACCCCAGTTATTTCCAGTAAAATAAATGCATTGCAAGAGGTGTTATTATCTAAATTATGAGACGCTTTTTTTTCAGGAAAAAAAAAACCAGCAACACGTGCTGTAAAAAAAAATACAATAAAAATTAACCATTCGAGCTCTCACTGGATCAACAATGGATGCATTGAAACATTAAACAGGGCACAGTGAAGCACAAGTATTTAGGTCAGCATTCAGAATAACGAACATATGAAGCTTACTTTGGCGTGATTTTGTACTTCTTTTTTCTCTCGCAATGTGAGAGTTTTAACGACGATGGTCAAGTCCATGGGCCACGACAGCGCCATGATTTGGATCCCATTCTTCCTGGCCACTTTATCCCCATTCGGAGTAACAAATGAACGAGTTATTTTTTTACTTGTTTTTTTTTGCCTGACGTCCACTTTCCAACACGAAGCTAATAGATTTAAATGAAATATTGACCACCGAAACAATTCAATTAACCTTTACCCTGTTAGGTGTGGAAGGTGTTAGACACACAAGATAGCCCGAGGGAGGTTTTATTCTTGTAAAGCTCTCGACAGGAATATTATTGCAGCAAAAAGTAAGGCATAACAAACAAAACAATCTGCTCGGGCAAATTTGGCAGTCATAAGTTTTTCTACTTTGGAGCGAAAATTCTATTTTTTACTTTTATGTTTTGAGGACAAGTTGTTCCTTCATCACATTTGTTGTGAATAAGGAAATGGCTGCATTATCTGTCCTCCGTGACCTTTTAAGTGAACATACACTCTACTTAGTGGGGAGAATCAACATGCGCTGATGAAGAAAGATAAGATAGCACAGTTGTTTAGGCCAGCAGATTTGTCATTAGGACGAGGTAAACTCCATCGCAGATAACTTGCAAATCTGAGGCTAATCGGCGTCAACATGAAAAAAAACTGCATGACTCATCCAAGATAGCTAAACGCCATTCCTATAATTACTTTAAACATTTATTAATTATTGTTGTTGTTTAAAATGGCATGACACCAGCCCTTCAAAAGGTCCCTGCCCAACATGCTTTCGCTGGGTCTCACTGGGACTGCAGAAGCAGAGGTTCAAGTTCATTTATTAGGTATAGCCCTGTGAGCCATTCGGCTCTTGAATCGGGTGCAACCGCAACAAACAAAAAACAAAGACATGAACAAGAAAACATCTTAAAGTGAATATGTGACTATGTGCAAACAGAAAATCCAGAAGTGTAAAGCTGCTACAATTTGACACGTGCATGCAGTGCATATTCGAGAGTGTGTGTGCATGGGTTGGACCTTTTTATTCTACTCTAAGGTGCGTGGCAGTTGGAAAGTCATGTGCCTCTGTAGGATTTGTGGAAATGAGTTGGCCAACAAATGGGAAACTGCTGTGTCTCTAGTGGCTTGTTAGATCTTTGCCTTGCGGGACGAGGAGTGCTCTCTTGTTAAAACATTGCCTCGAGTGAAATAGCGTATTGTTTTAAATGTACAGAGCATATATAGCGAAAGGACAGCTGTAGGCTCTTGTTAGGCCTGTGTTTGTGTTGGTGTGTATGTTTGTCAGCATGTGTGTGCGTGTATATTTATAGAAAACTATGATTTCATGAATCATAAGTTACCACGAAAAGGTAGTTTCACCGAAACAAGCAAAAAAATACTATTCATGAGCTGACGCGACAGTCTGCTCCATTGCTTAAAAATGCACATGCTGACTGAATCTGAAATACTTATACAGCATTGAATATTATGTCATGTGAGCTCACTAAGCTCTCCGAACATTTGTTCGCATTTAGCTCAGTGGAATGTACTTAGGCCACACAGCAAATAGACGCAGGTCTTTTAGGCCCATTCCCCCATATGGGTGACGACTGGCACTCAGATGTGTATTCTACGCATATGCTTTTACAGGGTTGAATGCACAATCAAGATATGTGGGCTGATACCATCCTTTAGAGTCGAAATGCATTAGCGGTTGGCTGGATCAGTGTATTGAGTTACTTTATTCACTTATTACCTCCTTCGACAAAAATACATGCCTCCAAAAATCAATGAAAAATGCTTCTGAATTTTCTTTTACAGGCGTTGGAGTCACCTTTTTAAGGTTGTTTCGTTGCGTGCATCTGATGGGGGTGGCGTGATTGGCAGTGAAGCTAGTGGTGTCTCATTGTCTCCGAGTGACATGGAAGCACGGCTGACATTTCAGCCATCTCCATGACAAATTGAATATTTTTTGGAAGCAAAATTGATTTTTCTTGTGGAAATGTGTAAAGTTTTCTTGTTATTTTTACTACTACAACGGACATGCTGTATGCATGAAGGCGAATTGAACAAAACTATTTTGCAAAAGAACACAATTTAAATTAACTTGGAAGAAGCCTATTCACTGTACACAATGGGGACTTTATTATTATGTTAATCGAGAGCAGTGCTATAATGCAGATTTTAATTACGCAACCTTGAATTGCAATTAATGATTTGTTACTTATTGGCAACGTTCACTTGTTTGCAATTTGAATTGCACTGTATTCGCATTTGACTGTATTGCATATTTAATGAAAGCTAGACAGAGAAAGAGAGAGAGAAAAAGGAAACGATTTTCTTCTAGCGTCATAATCATTGGAGATTATGCACAGGTGCAAGGTTAAACATTTACATGGCTACAGCCTTAGTGTGAGCAAAGAACAGGCTGCATATCGCAAGTCTACGGCACATGCCTTGTTCGTTCCCTGCCTCCTTGGTCTAAGTAGTAAGGCACCTCAAATATCACTTTGCAGCAAGCACTTCAGTAAACCGCTCCCCCCCCCCACACCGAAGGTAAATACTAGGGAAACGTCTCGTATCCGTTTACCCACTATCATTCCAGTACCCCAAATTGTCTGTGTAAAATCCTATTATAACGGCACAATGCTTCATCCTATTATGCAAACCTTTACATGGAATAAGAGGTGTCACCCAAGAGTGGTGGCAAATTCGCCCAACCACCCGCGAGCCTTTGTGCATATGCCTCGCAGAGAAGAGTGGCCTGAAACAGAAAGTGGTCTGAGTTTTACGTGCGCTCTTACTCCGTACGTTGAACTTTTTTCGCACCGCACGAAGCCAACCGTGCTAATGCGAGGTGCGAATTGAAATGAGCAACGTCACCGCCCCCCACCCCCTCTCCGCCCCCACCCCCCTCTCGCTATTTAAGGCCTCGGCACAGAGACGACCTCTCTCTGTGCGCCGATGTGTGTTGCTCTCTCTCTATGTATCTTTGTGATATCTGTATGCTTATATGTCAGTTTTCTGGTTAGATTTTTGTTGCTATTTCTTTAATACCTGATGACGATTGCTTGTGTTGCAATCGAAACGTCGTATGCTATTATTTAATTTATTATTTTATCTTTATACTTGACTTTACCGAAAGAACCAAAGAGAACAAAAACAATAGGATTCCCATCTCAATACTCCCTTGCCCCACGTTAAATCAGATATGATCGATTCTCACTTCCTGGCCCAGTTTGTGGCATTTGTTTATTCTCCTTGGGATTCTGCAGAGGTATTATGGTTATCACACTGGACGTGCAAATCCAGAGGTTTCCAGTTCATGGCAGTTTAAACAAAAGCAGGTTTCTGAAATGCCCCCTCCCCCGCGCCACTGTCCACCCAGCATTATACTGCCAATGTGTACACCACAGTTGATTGCCAGTTCATATGTGGTGGGATAACGTTTGGGTACTCCCACTTCTTCCAAGATGTCTGAGGAGCAGCGTGGAAGAATAAGCCCAAGACTCTCTGTCGAGGCTCGCAAGAGCTGCTAATGGAGGATGTGGCCAATTGGCCGCACACAACTCTTTCATCCACCACATGCGGCTCTATCGAAGGGGCACAACGTGGCACAGACCATCACAGTAGCAAAACATAATTAATGTCTCCCATGCTGTGCTAAAACTGTTTATATATACACACACACTTGGCTCATTGCAGAACTCATGGGGACTGTTACAGATTGGCCACCCGTGCACTCGTGGAGGCTGTGGCCACAGATGGCAGTGGTGTGACCAAGCAATTGCGGGGCTCCACCTTTACCATTCCACCGTTCTCCGTGTCGCAGGCAGCTGTTCATTTGAGGATGACTTCGGGGCCTGTGGATACCGCCAAGACACGGACGACACCTTCGACTGGGAGCAAGTGAACGCGCGAGAGTTTCCCGAGTTGGAGGGAGCCATCCCACACGCCGGTAAGAGCCCTGACCGTGACAGCATTGACAGATTCAATAAAGAGTTGCTGAGCACAGGCCCAAAGGCCCAAACTGCCACAAGCAACCCTATTGAAGGTGTAATAGATGTATTTATGCTGAACTTCGTTCGCGCCATACGTAACCAACCATGCTAGTTGGAGGTGCCGGGGGAAGGACAGCAAACCAAACGAGTTATTAGATGAGAGTTCATACCTCTGGCTCTCTCATGTGATTTCGGGTTGTGCCACGTGTTTTGCCGGGCACGATGTCTGACGTTTCGCTACACGTGCCGGGAGCATCTTCGAGAACTGAGTCGATGAACAAGACCCCAGCATGTGGAGCGGAACCGCGGGCATTATGCCGAGCAGGACGCTCTACGATCCGAACATACATGAGGAAAGCTGTACAGCGCAGCCGTAAAAACCTCTGCAAGTCGTTAATGCCTTTTATTGAATTGAGCAAGGTTTTAAATAACTGGGGGGGAGGTGGCTGGGAAGGGAGGAAATTCCAAAGTTGAGCAGTGCGGAGTAATAAGTAGAACGAGAAGTGTTGTGACCTGCAGTGTGGTGGTTGAACACATTATGAATGAGTTGAAGCAGTCAGTGAGTGTGGTAGACCAGGCCCTCCCCAACATGGGTGCAGAAAAAGAGTAACACGTTGTTTTAGAAATTAAAAAAAGATGGATAAACATGCTTACAGCAATGTATTGGCCACATTGCGAGAATAGAAAGCCGCAAACAGGGAAACTGAATTGTTTTTTTTTTATCAACATACTGGAGAAACACGTTCGGGAACTTGACACCCTTATAATATTTCTGCTTGAACTGGAATCATCAAATAACACGTAAGATTCCCGGCGCTTCTGAAGTGTAAACATACCAAACGTGCAGACGGAGCATATAATGAGCACGCACTCTAGCACAATATTATTAAGAACTTATTTGGCAGAAAAGTTCCCTCCTGTAGATCAGTTGAAGCAGTGCTTAGAGGTGCCATTGTGCACATGCTTAATGAGAAGCCTACTCACCAGATTGTGTAGCTCTCATTCATCAAAGCACAGTCGTGGAAAATCAGGTGTTCACTGGCAGTGGTGGTTTAATGGCTTCTACTGCAGACGGTACTCCACAAAGCGCAATACGAAAACAAAAATCATTATTATTCATCACAACAGAAGTTAATTTATGTTTTTTGCCAAAACACTTTCGGCCATGAGGGTTTTTCGTTGGCAGTGATTTTTTTTTCTTGCCGAGGTTTCTTGCAAGCAATCGAAATAAAATCACCTTTACTTGACCTATCGTGGATAATAACATTCATCAGTCCCGTGCAGTTGTGCTATCATAGTTGGCCCCTGCCCATGTCACTCGAGCCATGAGCATTCCCCTTGACTCCCAGTAATCAGATGTTATGTGCAGCTAAGGCCAAGCAAGCAGCGAGGCATGGGAACGGTGCCACCATTTTTGCCAGTGGAGGGTCGGGATAATGTGCCATGAGGGGAGCGCGGAGGCATAAGAACATGGGGGGCAGTTGGGGGTCGAAAGCCACGGTTGAGGCAACTGCTGCAGATATTACTTTTTTTTTTACTTACCAGGTAAGGGCCCACTGAGTTTTACAGCTCCTTTTTCGGAAGCGACCTTGCCACAAATGATAGCTAAGTGAAGTGGCGTATCGTGTGGACATTTTTAGCAGCCAAATATCGTACTCTCAACGCATGTTCCTAAATGTGGAGGGAAAAACCGGAGGGCCCCGGATAAAGTTCCACGCGACCACAGTGAGAACATGCAAACTCCAAACATACACAGGGGCCAGGGTCGGGGTCGAACCCACGACCTCTTGTATACCAGGCGAGGTCGTTAACATCTCGCCACCGTGAATTAAAATGAAACATAAAGCAGTGTCTTCTGCGTGGATGAGCTCTGGCCGAGCGGTATAAGACACAAGGTAGCTTAGTTTGACACGCAGATGTTTAACACGACTTTAAATCCCTGTCTCGGGTCACGTGGTGCTTTTGTAACCCACTTCCTCGACTTAGAGCGTCCATCCACTGAGCCACGTTTTTTTTATTTAACACATCTGTAGTTCTGTTGCATTGGCAGTGTGCCGTGGGTGATTCTTTAATGGTAAAACAAATATGAGTTCTCATTTATTGCAGGGATCTTCGTGGGGGCAAAACCTAAGGGTCAGAGTCAATATCACCTGCTCCCTCCCCCAACCCCCCACATCCCTAGCTACGATGACTGTGAATGTTCACATTTTATTTAAAGCCACTTAACTTCTGCTCATAATTTGATATTAACTGCGAGGCAGTTTTTGTTCAAGCAACATTATTTTAATTGCATTAGATATCCATCATCATATACGTGATAATTTATTGTATTTCATGGGTTATTTTCACTTTATTCTCATTGGTTTGAACAATTTATTGTCAGAGGCGGTTTATTTTATGTTGTCCTTCCGTAGTTTATGGGCATATTTGTTGGAAAATGCGGTGTGTGTTTTTCTCTCTCCCCATTATGGAGTCGGCTTCATAATCAGTATTCAGTGCTTGGAGGTTCCTTCTGTGAAGTGTGCTCCTCACTAAACGCTTATTTACATTGCATTGTTATCCCATTGCATGTTCATCATTGCCGTAGATGCTCAAGCAACGCAGCTGGTTTCATATTTTTCTACGTAAAGGGCAACAGTTGTGCAAGAACAACAAAAAAATATCCGCAAGTAAATAAATAAAACGAGGGAAGAGAGGAAATGTTTTCGAACATAATTTCGTAAATAATTATATTAAACATGCAGCGTGCCAATTCTGATTTAATTGAATATATAATGTGGTCTTGCCAAGTAAATGCTGATTACTGATAAATTATAAATGATGAATGATTATTACATGGCAAACATGCAACTCATTTATCAAGCCCTTCTCATACAAAAGCATTAGGGCTGAAGCTCTGGGCTGTGGCCAACCCGGGGATAGGATAAGCTGTAAAGATACGTGCATGCTCATTGCCTTGAGCCTTGTCATCAGGAGCAGCTTATCACTGCACTACAGGGAGAGTGGGCCACAGCATTAATAAGGGCTCTACATCAAAGTTTAGCACATTCCTGTCACCGTTGTGTGCCTTCTTGTTAGATCAACGGTCACACGTAACAAAGCCCTGTTAGCATTCCTAAAGTGCAATGCAGTTACCATAATGCACGTTGTATGCTTATAACGGCGAGTTCCGGTATTATCCCGAGTGCAGTCGGCTCGTGGAATGTCTAATTGGAAAATGCAGTTTAGCACGTAAGAAGATACAGTCGGGATGCATTCAGCCAGTTGTGTTAAGGTTGAACGGGACAAACCCAGCGGAGAGTTTGCACTGCAGGATCAGGCACGGTTTGAGATTGTCGGATGTGTCTGTTCTCGTGTTCTGGAGCACGTTCGACATGCTGACATTGTTCTTTGAACGTGATGCCGTATTCGGCTGGCAATCGCGTGCTCCCTCACGGGATAATTATCTTAAACAGCCCCTTTTGGTCTGGTGCCCTGAGATGTTTCGCCTGGCGGGTGCAGTGTGGATAATAAACGATGATGATGAAATATCTATTACACACGCTGTGCAGAATTTGGAAATATATTTTACGCAACAGTGTGGAGTTAGGCTGAAATGCCCTTCCCATTGAGTTCTGTACTGTGACGTGAATCTCATTTGAAAGCCTCCACATGCATCTCCAAGCTCAACTCTGAGCCAGGTCAAGCTCCAATAAAGGCATTATAGGATGTCCTAATACTAAATCAATGAGCTCTTTATTTAACCCAGTTTTCTTGATTGTTTACGCCTAATCCATTGCTGTTTGTGTGCTCCCAAAGGCACTTTAACCCATTTATATGTCCGTGCGCTACGTGCGTGTATATCTTACAGTTAGCATTCCGAAATTTGATGCGTTACACGTGGGTATCTTAATCGTGTTGCCTTTTAAGTGCACGTCAAGAAACTGGAAATGAATTGTGTTGAGTTGAAGGATTATGCTGTGTTGTTTATTTTACTCAAATGTGATTGTTATTCAGTAGTCCAAGTGATGAGTATCGGGACAATGGGCATCTATTTTTGTTACAGCCCTGCACCATTGGGGGAAATTCCACATTCCTCCGGTGGGTTTGATTCTCTCCAAAGGACGGCCGTTGTTGACTTCCCCAGAAATTGATACTCATTTTATTTGACCATGGCAGGATGATGGGCACAAGTCGACCTTCGCAAAACCAGGATGTTAACTCGCATCCTTTTGATTGCGAGCCGCCTAGGCATTTGTGTGGATTGATTGCTATTATAGGTGGTACATTTATACGCGTATATTTGATTATGCTTTAATTACTCGCATGATGCATGATTTGAATGGGCAAATTAGGGTTCTTATCGCATACTGACCATTGTTAATTGTTTCACGTGAAACACTTTTTGTAAAAAAAATAAAAATAGCATGCAAATATACGTATTGACAATACATTTCATGTATTGGTCTTAAATTACCACATGGATTCGGTTTACAAGAGTCAATATTATGAAATATGGTGACCAAATAACATCACAATACCAATAAACCCGATGCCAATATTGGGTTAGTTGTCGATAGCAAGATCAATATTTTCTCACAGCCTGTAATGCGCAGTGTCCAGTAATGCCGTGCTGTGATTTTTGTTGTATTTTTATCGGTATTTTTCCATGAACGGCAAAATACTCACGTGCATCTTCTGGTTTGCAAAATGATAAACAGTCGCATTAATCAGCTAACATTTAGTGCACATGCAATCAAAACAAAATAAATGTTCTTAATTAAAATGCATCATCTATTACACTCTGAGAACATTGCGGTGAGTCACTGGAAAAAAAAATGATTCAAAGGCATGCTCGAGTTGCAATATAAAGCAGCATTAGCAATATTGCACTGTATTCTTTAGCGCATAATGCTTGCAGAGTGGCTAGCGCAAAAAGAAAAGAAATCTTACCATGTTGCAATTTCCTTTTGATTTGTGTGCACCCCGAAGGTTCATGGTTGACTTTTGTTTGCCATCTCAAACACGAATGCCCTGCTTCCTTTCACTCGACATGCCTGAGCCCGATTTCACGCGAGCGCGAGGGCAGCAGACTTAATTTAGTCCGGCCCGAATGCAGAAAACTAAAGAGTCCCTTCAAAATCAAGTATAATGGAGCACCTTTTATATATATATACCAACGATCCAGCTGAAGTGCAGATTTATTATGCTGAACTGACTTCCCGATATTGATTTAACCCCGTGGGCCCAGAGAGATGTTTTGTATACCCGGTGGGATATGGGGCCCCGGTGTGAGTGGTGCTCTCTGAAGGCAAACGCAGGACACTTATTTCAGCTCTGTGGCAACGTCATTTGTAACAGGGTTACCGGCGTCTGAGGGGAGACTATTTGCGCCGCTGAAGGACAAGGCTCAAATTATAACACTTGCGATGCACCTCATTTAGGTATTCAGAAATTTGTATTGCTTATTTGCTTGCTTTAATTGTAAGCTCGTTATTTCATTTAATCTGTTTGTTCTTTATCGGGGGTGTATCGGTTAATGTGTTTCAGGAAATACAAACGTACAGTATCGCAACATGCACCAGTGATGTCTTCATAAGGCCTTTATAGTTGTATAAATGGCTCATCGTGTGCAATAAACACGTTTGGCTGCAGTAATTTGGAGACTTCTTTAGATATATAGCACTGCCAGCGGGCAGCATTTTTTAAAATAATTTAACTTTGTCGAAAAAAAATGTAAATACCGTATGTGAATCACTTTTTTTTTTATAATTGGTACAGATTGACTTTCTTTGGCCACTTTGATTGCTCATTCGGTTGCTTTTGGGAAAAATAAAACACATTTCTGATGACATTATATACCGAGTCTCATCGCTCAGCCATAGGTTGTGAGTTTAAATCTTGCCTGGTGGGATGATGGCCTGCATCTGGGGTAGATATAATAAATACCACTTTGTGGAGGAAGTCATTGGTGGTAGATGCACGCTCGTCATAGGAATGAGAAATTTTCACCACCACCTGATCAGGGCTGTAAACTAAAGATGAGCACTTCCTCAGCATTCACTGAGCAGAAAATCAATTTGAAAACTCAGATTATAAATTGCTTGTGCTTGCATAATTTATGTTGCTTTTTGCAAAGTACAAAAGAGCAGTAACTTAGGATCTGTCATTGTGTGATGTCCAGTTTTTTGTATTTTACATTTATATTGTGACTAATTTTAATGAACAAAAAAAAAACACTGGCAAAAGAGCATAGGCAGTATCTGGGATCATAATATTCTTATTATGCTATGAAAGGGGGTAATCAATATTAGCTTTGTGTAAAATATGAATGTAATTTGTATTGATACATTGCTTAGGCAGGTGATGTCAAACCGCGTGCTTCTTGTTTGCTGACTCAAAGTTCATGATGTAATAATGCCTCCCATCAAAAAATATATAAATGCAATTAAATAGACGAAAGCTTTTACACATACCTTCACGTGTGAATATATATATGGGCATTAAAATAAATTTGCATCGTAAATACATATTAAATGTTTTATAGACAGTGTAGGCTGCACATTTGTCCATTGCCCAGGGCTCTCCTCCTTGGTCACACTTCTCCCTAACAAGTCGTGATCTCATTCAATGTGCCACTTTTATGGAATTGTGTGTGTGTGTGTATGTTTGATTCACACTATGAGATCTCTTTTACCAGTGGCAAAATATAGTAGTAGGTTTTTACCCTTTTAAACTGGTACAAAACTGACACCTTTATTCAAGGCATCATGATTGCAATAACCACAACACAAGTAGTGGACCAATCAACTTCAAGGACAGTGCATATTATTATCATTATCAGAGTTGCTTCTTTTTGTTTGCTTTTTTGACTACTTGTGTTGTGGTTATTGCAAACATGATGCCTTGAATAAAGGTGTCAGTTTTGTACCAGTTTAAAGGGTAAAAACCTACTACTGTATGTTTGCTTGTTTAACTGATAGATCCGTGCATCAGCACGTCGATGGTGACATGCGAGAGGGGGGGGGCGTGTTGGGGACGCACAGCTGTTTTATTTGTATTTAACCTTTTACCTCCCTGTTAAAACTCTACCCCCCCCCCTTCCTTATCTCGCTCTCTCTATCTAATCGATTCCTCATTCTCCTGGGTCTGTGCTGCTCGTGTGGGTTGCAGTGGAGAGGTTAAAGGTGGAATGGGGGTGTGGTGGGGGTGATCGTGTGTAGACGGGAGAGGTGTGTGGTGGGGGGGAGTCACAAAGTTTATGAAAAATGTAGAGATCAAACGTTTGAGTTCGTTTGACCTCCTGACACATTCTTGGCGTTGGATAAAAGTAGCTTTAGTTGTAAGCCCACCTGATGCCACAAGTTGAATAATAAATCTTGCGGATGTTTCCAACATTGAACATTCCCTGATGGACAGCTCTGCAGCCACACTCCCTTGCGCGTGCACTCTTTTAATGACATTTCTGCTACACGTGTGTGCTTTGATTACTGCTCGGGTTTGAGCCTTTTAACAATACACACCATGTTCTTTTTTTTGCAATGGGGCATTTTAACACCGACGTAATTTCACCGTTGACGTGATAGTGATTGACTTCACAACATGTCAAAACTCATTCCCAAGGCCAAGAGCATGTCATTAAACGACAAACGCATCCTCGTGTTGTGCCGGCATCTCAATGAAGCACGCCAACACGCATTCTCCCCTTCCGGCCTTCCGCATCGCTGCTGGCAACGCGTCGGTCACCGAGTCGAACTCGCGCCCACATCCGCGTTTAAACCCTGCCGCCCGCCTTCAGCGTCGTAACGAACGAGCGCCTGCGACGGTCCCCCCTCTCGTCTCCAGACGTGGACACGTACATGCTGGCGAACACGTCCGACCGCGTGCCGGGGCAGTGGGCCACCTTGCGTCTGCCACAGATCAAGAAGAACGACACGCACTGCCTGGATTTCCACTACCACCTCTCGGCGCCCGGCCGCCTCAGCCCCGGGACCCTCAACGTTTACGTGGCCGTCAACGGGGGGCCTCTCGCCAACCCCATCTGGAACGCCAGCGAGAGCATGGGCCGCCGCTGGGCACGTGCCGAGCTGGCCATCAGCACGTTCTGGCCAAACAGCTATCAGGTGAGATGCGATATTCTTATCTGTGTTAGATTCGATTTTTATTGTTATTTTTTTATTTATTTTTTATGTTGCAACTCAAAGCGAGCCCGGTACAATACGCCGATAGCAGTATTGGGGGGGGGGGGGGGGGGCAGGGGTCGGGGACAGGTCCCTTTGAAAGGGGAAAATTAGACTTCATTATTATTGTTAAGCACTTAAACTGAGTGTTTATAAGGTCCGGGTAGAGGTGCAGCCCTACAATTCCTTGCTCGTACCACATCTGACATCGGGCGTCAATGAGACGGAGCTATAGATAGCCCCCTCCAGAGGGTATTTGACCTATTCTGCTCCTCTGCCCAAATGCCATGGAAGAGGTGGGAATATCAACACTCGCATGCAACCTGCTGATGGACTACCTGTGTTGCTACCCCATTCGTATTGCTGGATAGACAGAGATGGGGATGGGAGGGGGGGAATTTAAGAACTGCCATGCTGCGAGATTGAAATGAACCGCTGATGAGCAACATTCCGAGTGTATTTGTGAAGTGTAAAATTAACAGTGATATAAATACACGGTGGTGTAAGACAGCATATCCGTGCTTCACGCAGTGCATAATGTACGCGCAGACGCATGCTTGAAGAAGGCATTTTTAAAAATGGTAAATGGAGACCAGAAAACGTTGATGTGCACAATGTCGCCATGATATTCGTAGAAATGGAATTGACTCATTAAAGACATGCCAAGGTGTGAAGATGAAAAGTTTCCATATCATCAAGTCACAGGATGAGCCACCTTGCCACTCCTGGGTTAGCGGTCTAAATAAAAAATGCATTTCACACTCAAGAGGTAGGTCTCAACAGGAAATGTCTTAGACCAATTCCAAAGATGAGTCTGAGGTTTCCCCCCCCCCCCCACCCCATTTCTGAGAGGTCAGGTGTGTTAGTGAAGATCAGGAGAGTGATGGTGTATTTTGTACATTGCTTAATACAGTACATATATTGATGTTGCTGCAGCTGGTGCACATGCAAGTGAGTGTTTGGTCACAGAGGCAGAGGGAAAAAAAATCGATGCTCATTTGTCACATTTTGTTCCATGTTTGCAGGTGATATTTGAAGCGGTGTCTTCTGGTGTTGAACTGGGTTACATAGCTATCGATGATGTGCAAGTCCACAGCTATCCATGCAGTAAGTAAGGAACGAAGACGGTGATACAATCACAAATTTGGACACTTCTGAATGAATACGCAGATTTCAACAACGTACAGCGGATGCGTTTGTCACGTTTGAAACTTGTTATTTTTGCACTTGGCAGACAAAGCTCCTCATTTCCTTCGACTGGGCAGCGTCGAAGTGAACGCCGGACAGAACGCCACCTTCCAATGCATTGCCACAGGGAAGGCTCTCACCAATGAACTCCTCTGGTTGCAGGTAACTACGTGAATGTTTTTTTTTATATCCTTTATATTAAGTTCACTTGCTTGCTTGCACGCTTACGACCGTGCAAATCTTTCGGTCGTTTTTTAACCCACTTCCCGTGATCCAATCGAGCTGACATTTTGCACACAGACTCGTTGTGCGTGACAATTTATTTTCGTGAAAAATTTTTCCCCAAAATTTTCCACTTTTTAGGAAAAAAGAAAATTTCATATTTAATTTAAAATACCAATGTGATAAAAATGAAACTCTTACTCAAGAAAAACAGAAATGAATAATAAAATAAAACCGATGCCACGCATATAAAGGATTTATAGTGAAAAACTTTGTTTTTACGGGTTAATTTTTTACACGTCTCGAACTGAGTGCCCGTATAACGACGGTTGTCAACAAAGGGGCGACCGTGATGGCGCAGGCAGAATGCAAAAGCATTACGTCTGTGAGTACCAGCAGTAAAACTATGACTCTAATGTACAGTGAGTGTACACACAAATTGATTGTGATGGGGAACCAGGCATGGAGGTTGCACTTTATCTTCTCACCAGGCTGCCCGGCAAGGGAATTTAGCTGAATTGACCTGTGCCTGCAGCACCTTCAGCACTGCTATATATGCAGGGGCTGGCTGCAGTCATGCAGAACTTGTAACCGATGTGTTTTATCTTCTTGGTTCTTTCGGTAAAGTCACGTAGAAGGAAAATAATAAAATAATAAAAATAAACATAATAGCGTTATTTTATTTTATTATGTTTTTAATATTATTATTTTATTATTTCCCTTCTACGTGACTTTACCGAAAGAACCAAGAAGATGAATCCCTGCAGTCACGAAAGCTTTAAATCGAGATGTATTTTATATTAACTGGCGCTAGTCAATATACAGCATCCCTTAACTCGGCCCACGTGCTACTTTGCAAACCCCAATATACAGGTACTAGCCAGTATGCACAGTGTTAAATAAATGTGAGCGTGTGTCTGGCAGAAATTTGCATCAATTATCTCGAGTCAATATGTAGCGTTGATAAGAAGGGAGATATCGTAGAGCGCTTTGCTCGATATTTCCTCATCTCATTGAATTGACAAAGCATTCAAAGCGGTGTTCGCACTCTTACCCCCAAATCTGACATGGACAGTGAACCGTGTCATGAAATGAATTCCATTGAGCCTCCCATGTGTCAATGTTTTCTATCAGAAGCAAAGCAGCCCCTTTGTGTTCCCACCCCACCTCCCCATACTACAAGAATTGGCCATTAAACACACTGACCAAAATAAACCACTCCAATGAGGTAGTTTATTTTGAAAACCGTCAACATGTCTGCTGTGCACGGTATATCGACATCTGCTGGTTAATGGAAATGCACTCAGTGGCAGTTTATAGAATGAGAAAAAGCTCCAAACACTCACCCCCCCCCCACCCCATGCCGTTGTCGGCGACTCATTTCATTTTTATACTCGGATAAGTTTTTGTTGCGATGGAAAACTGCGCTGAGATTATTATCCCCTGCGCTGACTTTTGTTTTACGCATTTACGTAACCTCCCATATGCTTCGTTATAGAGGAGCAATGGGCAGGACATCCCCGTGAGTGGAACGAAGCTGGTGAACCACAGAAGATTCGCGGCATCCTTTGGTGTGCCGCACGCCGCACGCTCGCACGCCGACATTTACCGTTGCGTCACGGGCTCAGCTGACGGCGCGGGGGTGTCCAACTTTGCACAGCTCATCGTGAAAGGTAACACAACCAAATCATTAGCGTTGTTGCGAAGAATATCGTCTATCTGTCTCTGCAAAAACAATTTTTTTTTACACAACCCGATGGCCTATTGGCCTTCTGGGAGTGTATAATTTCAGCAGCATTGGTTCAGACAAGCAAACTCTGGAGCGGTATCAAAATGTAGTGTCTCTCTCATCAGCAGAGTTTCGCTTTCTTGAATCAGTCCTCGTGAACTGGCAGAAATTATAGGCAAGATGTATTATTAAAAGGTGATACATCTCGGTCATTTCACAGAAATCACTGAAGTTTATGCACTGATTAATTTGTCGATCATTTAAAGCAATATTTCAACAATTAATCGAGCACATGCGAACAACACATCAATTCCATTATCATTCAGTGCATTTTGGTTTAAAGTACAGTCAGTAAAATCGTATGACTTACACGTGGCTTTATTTTGAACATATTTCCAAGCCGCTGTCATTTTATTTGACCGACTCTGGCCTTGTTTAAATGTTGTTCTTTTACATGCACGAAAGGGAAATGCAACAGTTTAGTCCTCAATGCAATGTGTCAGTAAACCCATTCTCAATTGATTTTAAAAGCACCCACACTTGGAGTACGCGGGCATGTCTGCTTGCAACTACATTTGAACTTGGCCTTTTTATCCATGTATAATCGTTTTTGTACAGCCCATCAGACGGTCAAAACATTGGACATGATGCAATTTTGCGAATTTTACTGAATCAAATATAATACTGAATTATTTTCAAGATATTGTTACGTCAGTGCGTGCTATAGCTGCCCTGTGTTCACAATAACTATCAGCCTGCACGTCGTTTATAACTAACAGTAAGTTGGTCTCTGTCTCTCCCTCCAGTCAGCCAGACAGCCAGCAAAACTAAAACACTGTACCTTGACGAGAGGAAAACATACATGTCAGGATAAATGTAATTCAAATATAGTATTTTCGATTTGAAGCTTTCGTGACTGCAGGAATCCATACTCTTTGGTTCTTTCGGTAAAGTCACGTAGCTTTTAAAAACATTTCTATCTATTTGACTTTATCGAAAGAAGCAGAGAGTATAGTATTTTTCCTTATCAATTTTAACGAATTATACGAGTTATACTTTTAAACTGACTTGGCAGTACTTTATGTAATGGCATTGCCTTAACCACTGCTAAAACTCAGCATCTATAATTAAATAATCCCAAAACATGTTGTATACGACATGAAAGCCCTCTCATCCCCCTTCTATCCTGAAAAATTAATGGTTTGACTCGACGGAGCAAACACATCCACACTGTAAAAGAGCTGCAATAGTGTTTTAAATGAAAAAGGACATAAGCAAGTTGATTTTCACTTCTCAAAAACACTCCATCCTACTGAATGTGCTGTTAAGAAGGCCATTGCCCGAAACGTCCCCGATTATGATTTTTTTTCTTTTTAATGCCAAAGTGGGTATCGACAAATACGTGCCTTCTTTGAGCCCCGCCCCCCTCCCTCCCGATACGTTCCATTCATTGGCTACCACATTCTGATGAGCTCCCCCCCCCCTCTCCTCCCCCCTCAACTTGCTTTTAAGGGATTACATCTTGAATCCTTGCCTCACTTGATGCAGCAAATCCGGCTGTGACGGTCCCACCTGATGACGGAGACTTGTGTTGCCTCCGAAACGTCGTGATTTTTATTTTATTTTATTTTTATTAATTTTAATGTTTAACCTACGTGACTTTACCGAAAAAACCTAAGAATATCGACAAATATTTGGAGCTTTTGTCTTAGAATGCTGCTGACGATCACTTTCTTCTTAGATCATGTTGATGCCGGTCTGCCTTCAACAGTTGTGCTCGATATACATACTCTGTTGTGTTCTACAGTTGCGTCCCTCCCAAAATGAGTTCCTTTTTGTTCATTAAACTTGCGTCCCTAACTTTTATTTTGCTCATATTTATCTTGAGCCCCACTTTTCAGCCTTGTTGTTTAGTTTCTTTAATCAGTTCTTGTAGTTCATTCTAATTGGGCATTATAACGACAATGTCATCAGATGCTCTGAGAGAGTAAATTTGTATGCCTTTCATACTCTTAGGTTTTTTCGGTAAAGTCACGTAGGTAAAAAATTTAAATTAATAAAAGTAAAATAAAACAAATTAAAAAATTTCACGACGTTTCGGAAGCAACACAAGCCTCCGTCTTCAGGTGTAACCGTCACAGCCACGACAGCTGTCTTCAGGTGGAACCGTCACAGCCACGACAGCTGATACCGTCACAGCCACGACAGCTGATACAGCTGTCGTGGCTGTGACGGTTCCACCTGAAGACGGAGGCTTGTGTTGCTTCCGATTACGTCGTGAAATTTTTTAATTTGTTTTATTTTACTTTTATTAATTTAAATTTTTTACCTACGTGACTTTACCGAAAAAAACCTAAGAGTATGAATCCTTGCAGTCACGAAAGCTTCAAATCGAGAATTGTATTCCTTTATTTCTTAGATTTATATTAAAAAAAAATAACAACATACCTTCACGGTTGTCTGTGAATAATTTTGGTGACAGTCTATCCCCTTGCCTGACTTCACTGTGATTCGTATATTTATTATTTTGTATAGATGGTTTAGCTAATTTTTATGTATATGTTTATTAAAGCCTTGCTTTGTGAGAGCTTGGACAACTTCATGGGTTTCACCTGACCAAAATACGTTTTCATTGTCTACACAAATATATGGATGATGGTAAATTGTATTTATTTGTTTTTTCTAGAATCTGATTGATAATATGTAGGCAGTTGATGGTAGAAAACCCATTCTCAAACTCCAGATTGCTTTTCCGGTTGTCTGCCCTCTAAATTGACCTCTATTCTTTGTCCTCTGTGATCTTCGTGAACAGTTCATGCATGTGTGATAACAGGCTAACAGGTTTGTAATTCTTCAAATCAGTTTCATATCTTCACCAACACACACCGGCCAGTGTGGTGAAACATGTTGAAATGTACAACCGTGGGTATCGCCCATTATATATTTTCATGTTGGTGTTTTTTTCCAATGCCATAAACTACCATCTCCGCGATGACATTGAGCAGATAATTCCTAAAATCACCGTGTTGACCTTTTCCCTGAATATGTTGCACTGTTTCTCATTTCAAATCCCGCAAAATGGCTTCCAGAGCTGTGAGTTACAGTGCTTGCTTTTTTTCGAATATAAAGTAAGCTTATTTAATTTCAATAATGATAGAAGCACATGTTTGAAAATGCTTCGATAGCAATGAGACCTGGATGTGTACATTTGCATTTGAAGTTTTGTTTCATGTACATCATGTAAATTGATACCTTAATTGATTGAGCATATAATTATTAAACCTTATAAAAGCATTAAAGGCATCATTATCATGATAATTTATTATTGCAATAATTATCAACTATCATTCATTATCCATGATTATCCCTTGATACACCATGGTTATAAGTAATTTCCTAAAACAAATTTCTGCTCGTCTCCACCGTTTCCTGATTCATCGTGTCTTAACTCCTCTGACACGATGAGGATTTGTACCTTCACAAAGATAGCGGTCTCTCTTAAAACAAATTCCCCCCCCCCTACATAGCAAATGAAATTTGCTGAAAGGGGAAGCGCTGCACCAGGCATTTATGTTACTCGGTGGGGCATCATCAATCCTCAGGACAATTTACATTTGCACAGAGGTGGTTGACGGAGTAGAGCAGGAGCCTTCTCTATTATTCACCAGGTGGGACTTGAAAATCCCATCAGCCTCTAGTTGTTTCCCAGGGTGAATGCTCGATCGATGCTTTGATTGGTTTTTTGTGCTCCGGCCGCCTCTTCTCCTTATCCTGTTCTGTCGGTGTTTTAGCGAGGCTCGCCTGGCAATGGCGACAGACGTAACGGAAGATATGACTCGGTTTTTTAACATCTGTTCCTTGCCACTTGGCTGAACGTTTGCATGCGCTGGCAGTTTGCGTGAGCCACTCTGAGTTTTACTTCGTTTGCGTAGGGTTCTACTCAGTGGCGGCTCCTGCAAAATCTCTCAGGGGGGGCAAATGTCTGGATGATTGATAAGGATAAGGTCCACCCATGCAATGGATAAATTAACAGCTTAAGCATGTAAAGGCAACTTCACTTCTTTAATATTAATGAAAAATAAAGTGACTCTTACAATACATCTTGTTTGTTTCTATACTCACTATTAAAAGAAACCACTCAAGTTTATTTTATTAAAGATTCCACTAGGTGGCGATAAATTATATTGTTGGATGAAATGTGCTTACGTATGATGACGTTAGCACGTATGATGACGTAAGCACGTTAGGGCGAGCCCTCCCGGAAGCCATAGAGAATGCATTGCAGCGCCCCCGTTCGAAAAAAAACATCTTTGAATGTAAGTCTATGGGGCCACTCGGGGCGATTCTCAGCCGGAGTGAAATCGCCCAAAAAGAGGCGGTACTCCACAGAACGTGACATGACGCTGATTGGACTATATCCAGAGGCACAGTGATGGCTAGCGTGACTCTGTGGTTGAATGACATTGGTGGTGCGTCGCCCAATCGCCCTAATGAAGAAACCGCCCCTGGTTCTACTGCTTCTTCTTCTTCTTCTTCCCATAGTTCTTCAAGGACATATCTGGGAGCTGTTGAAAAGTTGGGGGGCATTTTTCGTTGAAAGTTTTTGTTAAAAGAAAAAGATTGGAACATATTTCATTTAATAATTCAATAAATATACTGCTGTTGAGGTGGTAATTATTTTGAAAAAATATAGTAAAAAGTTAGCTTTTGAAACTTGTAATGCAGTTTATAGTTATTGCAACTATTTGATTACCCTTTGGAGTCAATTGATTTTCTTGTCTTGCATGCGAGTATTTGTCCCGGTTTCAGAATAACAAAGTTTGCCACAACCCTGCAAATATCACAGCAACTGGATAGCTCAACGTATACCACACTTAGACCTTTTTCAATTCAATACAGTTTATTTGTCATTATTTACATTTAGATAATGGAATAAATAAGTAATGGACAACACCTTTGTCAATTCACTTTTAGATGAAGGCCTCCAGATGCCTCTAAGTGATCTTTACCTTCACTAGTTAAAACATCCAATCTTGCTAGGTATGTTATATCAAACTTAATTATACTTTACCCCTGTGGTGCATTTGATGAATACACATTTAATTACGATGCTAAATTATGTATTTGCCCTTCATCTGGACAAGTGAATGTAAGATTTATGTCTAATAGTGCCACACAATCGTTACACAAAATATATAACTATTATGTGAACTCTGCCTTGTGCATTGCGACATTACTTATCTCCACCTAATCAAGTCCCATTTTCTGAAGTGCACATTGCTGAAGTGTGCATTGCAATTATAGTCGATTTTGCATATTTTAATGTGTGTTAAAACGTCATTCATTATCTGATTACAGTTTTTAGATTTCTTACAGTTTTTAGATTTAACTGTGCATGTGGAGTAAGTGTAATGATTATAATCAGGTGTCTAGGTAGGTCATGTTGGTGTGATACCAATGAATGCACACCTCTTGATATTTAAGCGACCTCAAGTCAAGGAGCATATACTTCATCTTGAACCCTCTTCATTTTCTCCGGCGTGCAGTACCTGTCCGGGCTCTATATCGGCAGGAAATGTTCTCATGCCACAAACGTGTGTGACATTTAGTATTGTGCTCATCATGAAGTCCGAGGAAGGCACCCCATAACAACCATGCAATGTGTTTATTTTTTATTTTTGTTATTTTAACAGCAGAATATATTGCCCACCGAAACGTAATGACATTACTCTCAAATTATTTAGAGATACAGCGTTGGCAGTGGTACACAAGCACAAATAACAAGAAACTCAACACATTGATCTATAATGCTTCCATTAAAAGTAAATATATATAATCGGTGACGTATTGGCCAATAGTCTTCGATAAAACTATGCAGACGGGCCCTTGTGCTACGCAGAAAGGGCTGCTCGAAATGCCACATTATATATATTGTTTCTCCATTTAATGCAGCATTAATTACAAATGTTCGTGAGGTTTTTTTCCATGTAACTTTCAGTTTAGTTTGTTTTTTGTCTATTTATGCAGCAAAATGCGGCCGTGGCTTACCCAATAAATATTTGCCAACACATCTGATGAAACGGTAAATGCTATCGCTCCCTTTCTATCCATTAAACCCAAGTTCTGATAACGAGCGTTAATTCCTGAAGAATACGGATGGTGACATATACAAGTAGCAATACACATGGGATACCACCATGGTGTAATGGTTAGCACGCCCGACTTGCATTCCAGATGTCATCGAGTCGATCTCCCGGAGCGGCAGTGGAAACAATGGGCAAGATTCTTAGATCCCCTCTCGTCTGTCCACGTGGTTGTATCAATAGGTACCGACACAGTCGATTGACGGATTACGTGCGGTGGAGTAGAGTGTCGGTGCGCCCACGTCTGCCAAGGCGTCTAACCTGCATGGAAAAATAGACGGCACATTCACGTATTGGCGGTACACCGGCGAGCAGTATGAAAAAAAAATCGAATCTTTCACGATTATTTTTTTTCCCCGCGATTTGCAATCTTGCGGGATGTAACAAAATCAGTTCTCGTGATGTCGAAGCAGTCGAAAGACGAATGCCAATTAACACAAATGTTTAAGACTGCTTCATGAGAACCGGTGTGTTATGCTGCATTGGTGTTACCACCAATACGTCCAAATACCCTCTTTAGGGCCACTCTAGAGCTCCCTCTAGTGGAGACCTTTCTGCCACCAGTGGTGTGAGCAAAAATGCAATCAGGATTTATAGCTTTACCTTTGATTTACTTTGGCCCGCAGAAGTAATATAGTACAAGCAATATTGCAGGCTGTGTCTGTGTAAAATAGAATTGGAGTTGGAGCCAGGCACATGGTGTTGGTTTGTAGCTCAGCAGCATTAGCCCATGCCTCCCGCAGGAAACGCATGCCTCCATCTGCGCCAAGCGAATCAACAAGCGCTTTGGGAAAACGTCTAGTTCCCCCCACCCCCTCCTCCTCCGCTTGCTCGAGCAACCTTGATGTTGTTTATCTTCCCTTTTGCACGTTCAGAGCCACCTACGCCCGTGGCTCCCCCGCAGCTGGTGGGAGCCGGTGCCACGTACCTGCTGGTGCAGCTCAATGCCAACTCCATCGCGGGCGACGGCCCCGTGGTGCTGCGCGAGGTGGAGTACCGACTGCCTGCCTCCGTCGGCGGCTGGGCCGAGACTCACGCCGTGAACGCCGCCACGTACAAACTGTGGCACCTGGACCCGGACACGCGCTATGAGGTGCGCGTGCTGCTCACGAGGCCAGGCGAGGGTGGCACGGGCAAGTCGGGGCCGCCCCTCCTCGCCAGGACCAAGTGCGCCGGTAGGCGGTATACTGCCCCCCCCGCCCCCCGCTGTTGAGGATTTAAGGATGAGGATTTGTTTTTACTGTGGAGTCAAGAGGCCCAAGCGATTTCCTCCACAAATGAGCACCCGAGGCAGGTGCTTGTCTCCTGTTCACAGTCCCGAGCCAGTGGTGGAAGTGCCACGCCCGCCACTCAGGCCTCATGATTGAATTTATCCACAGGATAAGCGATGTTGAACACCGCGTAGAGGGGTACTCATTTGATCAACCCCAGAGGGATGGTGGGCTGAGTCAACCCCCAACCAAGATTTTAAATCCGCAGCTTTTCTCATCGGGAGTTGCCCACTCTACCAGCGAGCCAGCTGGGTCGTAGTTTTAGTGTCTAGGGCGCGCTTACATCACTCTTCCCTTGTTCCATGGGCTACTGTTCCGTGAACTTCACTTCATCGATTCTTGCGCCCGTGTCGTGGACTCAGTCAACCAGACCGACTGTGTCGTCTCATCCCGCGCTGTGTTCAGCCACCTCCACGCCGCAGGTCACAACCACGACCTGTCTGATTGCATCGCTCGTCTCTCTTCCGATTTCCCATGACGCTGCTCAACTTAAGGAACGCACGAACTCATCGTCTTTTCCAAACGTGAATGAAACGCATTTCACAAGTAGTACTAATCCATATCTGCATTTCTCATAAATATGCTAAATTCCTATTGATATGCAAATTATTTTGTCAAGGCGCTCTTCCCCCTCCAATCCAGCTTAAATATACGCTACAAGCCTGGGGTGTTTCATTCAGACGCTGTCTTCCCGACAGACCTGTTCTTCACCTGAGGACGGCTGCTTGCGTTGTGGCCGAAACGTCGTGAGAATTATTTTATTATGTAGAAATTTTATTATTTTATTATTTCCATTCTACGTGACTTTACCGAAAGAACCAAGAAGATGAATCCCTGCAGTCACGAAAGCTTTAAATCGAAAAGAGAATGGTGCTGTTTGCCGCTGGCTGCTTGGCATTATTGGCCTCCTGGGCACTTGTACTCACCAACCGACAAAAATGCCCCAGAAACTCGTTGCGCTGTACCGCTGCTGGCAGCTGTCCCTGTGCGTGGCAAAACGTTTGGGCACTGGGCATGGGTCGAGCAGTAGAGGGGCAATGTTACCGTGTGTATGTGTGTGTGTTTTTAAATCCTTTATTAAATCCTTTATATTAAGTTCACTTGCGTGCTTGCTTGCGTGCTTGCTTGCTTACGACCGTGCAAATCTTTCGGTCGTTTTTTAACCCACTTCCCGTGATCCAATCGAGCTGACATTTTGCACACAGACTCGTTGTGCGTGACAATAAATTTTCGTGAAATTTTTTTCCAAAATTTGACACTGTTTATGGGAAAATTTTTAATATTTAATTACCAATTGCTTAATGGTGGCAGACAATCATCTGACCCATAGGTGGCAGCCATCTCAAGCCAGAGGACGAGAGGACTCTAGCCGCCCGTTTCATGATGACGCAAATGTTGACTAACCACATGGCATGAAATCTCTGCCCCCACGCTGTACAGTGGAGACTATTTATAGAGCAGTTCAATTGAAGCTGCCAGGTTCTTCAAGGTGGTAAAACGGGTCAACGCTAGTGCCCTCAGGAATATACGGGGCATGTCAAGAGGTGACCTTACATATAAAGGATTTATAGTGAAAAACTTTGTTTTTAAGGGTTATTTTTTATTAAGTTAGCTTGCTTGCTTGCTTACGACCGTGCAAATCTTTCGGTCGTTTTTTAACCCACTTCCCGTGATCCAATCGAGCTGACATTTTCCACACAGACTCGTTGTGCGTGACAATTAATTTTCGTGAATTTTTTTTCTCCAAAATTTTAAACTGTTTAGGGAAAAATAAATAAATATTTAATTACCAACTGCTTAATGTTGGCAGACAATCATCTGACCCATAGGTGGCAGCCATCTCAAGCCAGAGGACGAGAGGACTCTAGCCGCCACGCATATAAAGGATTTATAGTGAAAAACTTTGTTTTTACGGGTTAATTTTTTTTCCCAATTTAGTCGTTTTTGAGTTAATTCATATTTCTATATATATATATAAAAAAAATCGAATTTGGACCATGACACCGGGGCACCTTAACTTTCCACTTTGTCTGGTGTGATGTGGAGGTTACGCACCTCTGATTAGCATGGTTGGCTACGCACGGTGTGAAACATACATAACATACGTGGCCGTTTTAGGGGGGGGGGCGGTTCTTGCAGAGGGGGTGATACTTTATGCATTGAATGATGACTGTGCCACATTCGGCACTAAATGGTTTATAGGATTGTGGGAGTCACCTCAGCCTGAGGAAATATAACCGTGTTAAATAGATATATTAAAAAATGATAGCAACCCTTCCCCCCCCCCTACATAATATTTACGGCGGACTGCATTTATCCATTAATTTACCTTATGGAAAATTAAAACGGCATACACTATAAGATGTAAGCCTATATTTTTTTACTTTCCTCCCTGTATTCATGGATAACTTTATTTCAGCATTAATAGTGTAAATTATAAATGTGTCACAGTATGCTCTGGGGCAAATTCACATTTACCATATTAATACATTTAAATTTGACTCTGTATAATGTTTTTATGACCACGTATATGTGTGTGTGTGTGTGCGCGCGTGCATCTGTACGTCCGTGTGTATATGTTCCTGGCCATTCACAGCACAAGTGACAATTTAACCTCAAATGAGTGTGGTGCGGTTGTGTAATGGTTAGCGCGCTGCGCGACAAACCCAGCATCCCGGGTTCGATTCCCTCTCATGGCCAACGCCAGTGAAAGATTATCTGAACTGGTCCTGTGCCTTCCCATGGGTCGATTCAGCCTCAAACGAGTACGTGGTGCGGTGTGCAAACATCGGCCCTGGGGAGACAAAGGCGGCCGGGCGGGGTGCTGGCCACCCACCCCCTCGTGCGCCGAACCTGACTTCATAGGTGCTCACAAACAGCACTTTCATCAACGGCTTGTTAAGGCTATATGGGGGGGGAGCTTTATCTTTGTTTTTTGTAAATGTTACTGGCCATTCACAGCACATTGGTATTTCAACCTGGCCTGGACTTTGCATGTAACTGAACCTCAAATGAGTACCTGGCGTTTGTGATATGGTCACTGTCAGCCCAGTGGAAATAGACAGGCAGCTGTTGTACCGGCTACACGACATCTGACACATACACTACCTGTTTTTGGGTTCTAACAGGTGCCAGACAAGAGCACATGCCTCACCAAAGTCTATGTAACTCAAAGAGGAGGTCGAAGCAACTCTGCTTCTTAATCTGAATCAGAATATTCATTGACTGCGTGTCACAAACTTTGACCGATATGTTTTTTAAATGAGAAGGAATATAGCCCCCCTCAAAGTGCACATATAGCAAATAGTAATCGGCCCACATGTATGAACTTTTAAGGGGCTGTCAAGAAGTAATTTTAATAAAAGTTTTCCCAACATCGGTCTTATTAAATTGGTCGTAGTTTAAATTCCACGTTCAGTTCCGTAATAACATCAGTCCAATTATTCAAGTCATATATATATTTTTTATCCTTGCTCTGTTATTTAAGGAAGCTGCAAGAAGGGGAATGCGTTCATTCAACTGAAATGTCAGTGACGAAATAAAGAAAATAGTTGGTGAAAAGTAAATCATAGCAATGATAACCAAAATGACAAAACGTACATTCTACTCACAATCAATCTGCCCTGGTGACTCACCGGTAGGGCGAGAGGCTTTCAATCCGAAAGTTGCGAGTAAAAATTCTGATCGAGATTTCACTCAACACATCATACTTCCGGGGCCGATAAAATTGGCACCACTTTGTCAGGAGGTCAACAAAATTGTTTGCCTTGTGGAGAGGCCTGCTCCCACCATAGGCAAGTGGAATTTCTACCACTGCCTCATGGCAATAACCAGGAGCAAGACGTCCTTTATTTGGCCTCTTTAAGCCTATTTATTTAAGCTGTTCCATAATGGAGATGTGCAAGATAATTTCTTTGTATGTTAAATTACCAGATGTGCACAGATGAACATGCGTTCGCATTGACACATTTCTATCAATCGCTTGCTTTTAATACATCCAGTGGATATGAAAAATAAGTGGGGGAGGGAGGGTTGTCCACATGAAATGTTTCCTCTCTACAAGAAATGGAATTGAAATGGAAAAATGGTTAGAAGAAGTGCATCGAGAGGAAGGTGTTTTTCAACATTTTGTGAAAGCATTTTAGATGTCTGGCCTCTGGGGAGAAATGTAACCTCACTGGGGGGCAGAGTGGTTTAAATGGATGGAGGTTTTCTACGGAGCCAGGCATTAACTTTTAAACATTGTTAAAGGCACAAGCCATTAGTACAGAGCTGTGTTGTATGACAATTTTAACACTGGATCGTGATGTCCTCTTTTGGTTAACCTCTGGCCCCACGTGAAAGGGGAGATCTTTCGTGTCAATGCGTCCTTCCCAAACTATTAAGGAATTGGGTCATTATAGAACACTGCATATACAAGTTAGCTTCCGATTCCTTCAGAATAAACATTCGCGTCCTTATCCTTGATTTTCATTGACGATAATGATTATGCTGGCAGTAATTGGCCATACTTGCTCTGTAAATATTGTACATCTTGTGTGTTTTTTTACACGGGCAGGTTTAATGTCATATCACATGATGTACCATTCTTTCTTTTTAAAGGATTTTGTCGGTCTTTGAATCTACATGTGGTATGTGCAGGGAGTTTTCATTTTCTTCGGGACCAGACTGTGCGTGCACAAGGCGTGCGGAGACAGCCGACGATGCAGTCGAGAATTTGCCGCCAGCTTCTCTGGAATCCGTTACAAGCCCTGCATGAAGCGCACAGCCAAACTTAAAAAAAAGAAGCAGCATTGTGGCCCAAGCCTCTTGTATTTTATGAGAAAAAAAAGTACACGCACTCCATTTCTTTGAATTCGCCATCAAAAGCTCGGAGGTTTCTGACAAACTCGCGGTATTGATTAAGTCTGCCGTGCGCTTTTTTTTTTTGTCCTGGTGCTGCGTTTGAAGTGGTGGCTCAGTGGCGGTGCGGTGCACGGGCAAAAAGCTGTATGACGGAGCCCTCGGCAGCAAACGTCTTGGCCCGGAGATATTGACGATCTGTTCCCGTGGCCGTGTTGCAGAGCTTAATAAATAGTTTCCACGGCTGGGGACTGTCACTCATCGCTAACGATTTTGAACAGCGCCACAAAGCACGTGGTCGGTTAGCCCCCAGTGTCTCAACCGTACGAAACAACTCGTGTGAAACCCATGCAGAAACAAGTCGTCACTTTCATATCGTGTAACGTTTCGTGTATATATGTTTCGCACGTGATGACTGGAAGCCTTATCGGCGGGCAGCCATCGGGTGCATTGCAGGCGCCAGCAAGCTGTATGTTGGCTGTCGTGAATACGAATTTACATGGTCTTTGCACTTTAAATCCCAGAATTCGTGGTGCAGAGTCTAAACAGCTGTAATGTTTAAAAGTGGGAATATTTTCCATTTGTGTGCGAGTGAACAATGATGAGATGAGAGGGCAAGGTACGGATTTTGGAGTCAAAGTCACAGCGGTAATGAGCCTTTTTCGCCAGACCGTGTGAAGTTTCTCTGGGATTCGGCGGTCGGAGGGAATAGCATTCAGAGGGTGAGCAGTGGCCCAGAGTGACTTTACTTCTCACTGGCCGGATAAAAAAAACAAAATTTGGGCAGCACAAAATTAACCCCTTTTTCTCTTGTTCTATCCCGATGGGGATAGTTTAGTCATCTGGTTCTAAGTAGCAACAAAATTATAAGCTCGGTGTTTTCATTGATAATGATGCTCAATGTGATGCAATGGAAGGCGAAGGTTTGAGGCACACGTTTTACTTGCTCGTTAGTTTTAATACTCGGCGAAACTTGAGATTTTGTGTGTTTTTTATGAATCGGTGTAATGAATTATGCAAGAGAATGCATTTAGTTGGGGGCCGCTTTCCCCTTTGATCATTCTTTAATATGTTTTGGTATTTACTTACAGATAACCTTGGATGCAACCAAAATCATCAAGAGAAAAATAAATAGAACAAATACAATGTGTAAAATGAAATTGCAAATGCATATTAATGAAAAAAGCAAGCGTGTAGTTTTTTTTTTTAATACGTTGCTGCATATGCAAATTTGACTGTTTAATTGTATGAAAACTCATTTACAGATATAATGCATTCCATTGTTATGTGTGACTGGCTTCTCTTTATTAGTCTGCCTCAGGTCTCTGGGCATGTTGCCAGAGGTGATGAGCCTCAAAATGACTCATAAAAGCAGCAGCTGAAGCAGCAGAGCCTACCATCCTCATTGTACAACCCTGAACTAAGTTAGAGGAGGCATTTATATCACGCAAAAGTAATTTGTAACGTGCCAAAATATATAAAATCTCACTTATTTATGCCGCACTTTATTTTATTCACAAACGTAATAAATATTTAAGCAGCAGAACGCAACGTAGCTCACAATGGAGACCCGCGCGCTGACAGCGTGCGCTGAATCTCAATCTCGGAGCACGAGATACACACCGATAAACGTTCTCCTGCCCTCCTACTCCTCCTGTGCTGCGCGTGGCCGCAGAGCCGACTCGGCCGCCCCGCGGGCTCCTCGTCACGTCCGTGGGCTCGCGGAAGCTCTCCGTGGAGTGGGAGCGCGTGGGCTACAACGTGACCCGGTGCAGCAACTTCAGCGTGGCCGTGCGCTGCCGGTACCGGCGCGGAGGAGGAGGCGGCGGAGGCGGCGGAGGCGGAGGGTGGGGTGGGAGCAGCGGGGTCAGTCCTGAGATTGTGCGGGAGGAGATATGGAAGGCCGAGGTGGCACCTGAGGCCTCCGACGGCAGCAAGAGGGACCGAGAAACCAGCCCCCCCGCTCTCGCCAAGGGAGGCGGGAAAGGCCCCGGCATCGCGGCGGCCAGGGGGTCAACGTCCGTGAAGGGCGGCGAGGCTCTGCGGGTTCTCGCGCAGCACACGCTCTACGACCTCCCGCCGTTCACCAACATCAGCGTGAGGCTGGTGCTGTCCAACCCGGAGGGGCGCAAGGAGAGCGAGGAGATTGTGACGCAGACCGATGAAGATGGTGAGGCCTTGGCGGCACTCGGTTCTGCTCAGCATCTGGATGGTGCTCCCGTGGTCTGCCTTAGAGCATTACATTGCAAAACGATTACTTTTGTTTTGTTTATTTATTGTCAAATAAGGGCCTTTTTTTGCATTTCATTAAGATAGGAATGCAATTATGCATAATGGCATTTAAAGCCACGTGATATTCTTTGACTCAAAACTTTCTTGACTGCAGAAATTCATATTTTTCGTTCTTTCGATAAAGTCATCTTAGATAGAAGAAAAATCATTGAAAATAATAAAATCATATTTTTTAAATTTTCTATCTACGTGACTTTACCGAAAGAACCAAGAATACCACGTGATATTCTTATTTGCTGTTCTCCTTTACCCACACTGCAGTGCCAGGTCCCATTCCGGAGGACTCGATCCGAGGGGACACGTTTGAGGATCGGATATTTCTGCAGTGGAGCTGTCCCACAGAGACCAATGGCCTCATAAGCCTCTACGAGGTTTGCGTTCATTTCCTTGCCCTGCTCAGCAACGCCGTACGCAGACTAATGAAACAAAATGGTTTTATTTTGCTTCTTTAATTCACGACGTAAGTAATTATCAACGCTCCCACACACCGATGCGACGCCTGCGAAAATCCTGTTCTGTTGCGGCTGCCCGGCACCAGATCACGTACCAGGCCGTGAGCTCCTTCGATCCGAGCTTGGTGGCGGCAGCTCGCAGCGGCGTCATCCACAGAGCGAGCAACGAGACGGCCCACCTCTTCTCTGGCCTCTTCCCCGGCACGTCGTACGCCTTCACGCTACGCGCCAGCACCGTGAAGGGCTACGGACTCCCGGTCACTGTCCGCCTGAGCACCAACATCTCCGGTAAACTCTTCCTCTGGGCACACAATATTGTCCCAGTTGATGTCGAGTCGGTGGTTTTCTCTCTCTTTACTAACTGCAAGATCCCACCGTGTCCGTCCAGTGCTTGCCAAAAGCCACATTGGCTTCTGGTTGCCGAACGAATACATTGAGATTGCATATATTACCCACAAAGTGCTTCCTACAAATGAACCACAATACCTTGCTGGTCTTAGTAGTAGGTTTTTACCCTTTTAATCTGGTACAAAACTGACACCTTTATTCAAGGCATCATGTTTGCAATAACCACAACACAAGTAGTCAAAAAAGCCAACAAAAAGAAGCAACTCTGATAATGATAATAATATGCACTGTCCTTGAAGTTGATTGGTCCACACCCGAGATGGCTTTCTTTAGAGCCTAGTCCCCATTGGTGTTGGACCAGATGACACCAGAAGGCGTACAACTCAAACACAGTGCAATATCAGAGTATTGAGAGCTCGGGGTAAGCATTTACACTATGAGATCTGTTTTACCAGTGGCAAAATATAGTAGTAGGTTTTTACCCTTTTAAACTGGTACAAAACTGACACCTTTATTCAAGGCATCATGTTTGCAATAACCACAACACAAGTAGTCAAAAAAGCAAACAAAAAGAAGCAACTCTGATAATGATAATAATATGCACTGTCCTTGAAGTTGATTGGTCCACACCCGAGACGGCTTTCTTTAGAGCCTAGTCCCATTGGTGTTGGACCAGATGACACCAGAAGGCGTACAACTCAAACACAGTGCAATATCAGAGTATTGAGAGAGATCTCATAGTCTTGCTGATCTCGTCAAGGAGCATAAACCATCAGGTGAACTCCGGTCATCTCTGTAGCGGCTTTTGGCTTGCCATCGAACAAAGATGGTTATTACATCGCTCGGTTTCAGATGCACTTTTGCGGCCGTCTGGAACGCTCTTCCGATATTGGAAATCCACTGGAGCTGCGCACTTTTAAATTTGGCCTGAAATATTATTTCTTTATAATTGCTATTTCTGTTTAGTTTGGTGTCCTTGGGCTACATAGCTATATTTCAGAAGCGACTTGGCCACAAATGATAGCTTAATAGAGTGGCTTATCATGTGGAAATTTATTGCAGTGAAATACTGTAAATGCACGTTTCTAAATTTGGAGGAAAAAACCAGAGGAACCAGAGAAAAACCCACGCGACCACGGGGAGAACGTGGAAACTAAAAATATACAGGCATCAGTGTCAGAATTTAAACCACGATGTCCTATATACCAGGCGAGGTAGTTAACACCTCACCACCATGGCGCTGGCAGTCCACCATGAGCGAGCTTTGATCTCTGCAGAAGCCAAGCGGTGGTGTCACTGCAACTGCTACCCAGAGGCAGCGTTTTATGAGGATTCTGAGAACATCTGGTTGTAACATATTGCACAGAAATAAATAACTAAGCAAGTAAGGCGAATGAAGTTGGCCCTCCTGTTTGAAACAAAGAGCGACGAGACGAATGTTCACCGTCGCTTTGCTTCTTTTGTTCTCAGCGCCGACCCTGCCTCGTTACGAGTTTGACGAGCCACTCAACGAGACAGACACGACCATCACCGTTCTGCTGCAGCCGGCGGCTTCGAAGGGCGCGCCCGTCAGGTTGGACATTGCCCGCGCGTGCGACTAACCGTGTCGGATTTAGCGAATTTATTTAGTGGCGTCTATTAGCGCCCAATCAATCCATACCCGTGTTCTGGTTTAGCCTCAAAATGGACCGTCGCACCAGGCATTTCCACAGTCCCAACCCTCAATACAATCTCTGTGAAAGGATCAGGAGTAAAAGTAGGTTGAACTAATGCGGTATCGGATGTATATATTTTAGTCTGGCTTATTGATTTTTGATGCTGCACTCACTATATGGAGGTTTATAATTGCGTTTTCTGCAGTGCCCCATCTCTTCCATTCTAAGACCCACTCATGAGTGGTTACTCTCAAGCACACATTTCCTCACTTTACTTTTACAATCGCAGCACGAGGTACGGCCACACAAAGATGGAATTAAAAGCATAGGACATGAGTCACACATTTATTTTCCGCAACATTCTTGTTTTTTTTTATTACTTTTTTACCTCTCAACAGTTTGAATGTATGTATTTTTGGCGTGTGAAATAGTGGTTGTGTGGTACAATCACCACTAGCTGAGGCAATCAAACTCACTGCTTGTGGGAACCTTTCCAGATATATTTATTTGATTTCATCCACCCCGGGTTTTCAATACATGATCTGAAAAGTGCTGTTTTACACACGGCATTAGCATCCCACATAGCTACCCGAATATCCCATTCGTGCACAAATCAGTGACCTTTCAATCTCCAAATTGTAGGCCACAGCGGTATATATATATATATATACATTACCTAGAAATAGTACAGACCCGTTTTAAGTAGTAATTCCTTTTTAGCATTCTCAACCAATGAGCTTTTACTCCATTGTTTCGTAACTACCCAATGCTCTGTTGAATAGAAATAGATTTAACCGGAGCGTAGGTATCAATATAATTCTACATGACTTCCGCCTGCTCTATATTCCACTGTGCATTTCAGTGGCAGAGTTTGGAATTTTGTATTCGGTGCTTGAATTGGGTTGCTCTCACACACCGGGTTAGCGCTTGCCTTCACCAAGCTAAACTCAACTATTTTTTATTTACCAGGTAAGGCCCACCGAGCTATATAGCTCTTTTTTCAGAAGCAAACTGCCCACAATTGATAGCTCAATAAAGTGACTAATGTGGAAATGTATCGCAGCCAAATACTCTAAATGCGTGTTGATTCTAAATGTGGAGGGAAAAACCGGAGGACCTGGAGAAATATCCACGTGACCACAGGGAGAACACGCAAACTCCAAATATACAGCAGGCGTCAGAGTCGGCATTGAACCCACGACCTCCTTCATACCAGGCGAGGGAGTTAAAATCTCGCCACCGCAGTGGCCTAACTACACTGACCAAACAATCCCCATGGCCAACACAGCGTGGGGAGGCTGTCATCTAGCAGTGGAGCGACAAGGGGCTGACAATTATTATATTGACACTGAAGTCGTCGCCCTATAATTTCCCCCTTCTGAGCATAGACCAGAGGTCGCAACAGGGTACCCGATACCCGTACCCTACCCGATACCCGGCTACCCGTACCCGGCCGGGTACGGGTACGGGTAGCCGTTTGCGACCCTGGTGCGGCCGGGTACGGGTACGGGTAGGCCGTGAGTCACTGGTGAGTAACCGTTTGTCACTCATTTCGGGTAGGGTACAGGTAGGTGCCCGTACCCGTACCCGGCCGGGTACGGGTACGGGCACCCATTTGCGACCCTGGTGCGCCCGGGTACGGGTAAGGAATCAAAACCCGTTTGCGACCTCTTCCTTTCCTTAGTTCGGGTAAGGAATCAAAACCCGTTTGCGACCTCTTCCTTTCCTTAGTTCCGGTTCAGCTGTGGCCTCCAAATGCGTTTAATGCATCTCACTGCCATCTCGTTCATTGTCTTCCTCTGCTTCTTTAGCCTCCTCAACATCTATTCTACAGTAGTTCACATGGCATAGCCTGCCAACAATTGTTATGCTCCACTGTTAGTATTAATATACTTCGGTTTGCGACCGTGGCGTAATGGTTAGCGCACTAGCCTTACAATCCAGAGTTTGCCATTTCGATCTACCGACGGTGGCAGTTCTTAACCACTTCCATCCCCCTGCCTCTGTCCACCCAGTTGTATGAACGGGTACATGACAGTCAATCAATCGGAAAGTTGCATGTGGTGGGGTGAAGTGTGGGTATTCCCACTTCCCTTCCAAGATGTCTAGCGTGGGAGAGTAGGAAGCCCCTAACGCACTCTCTCGACGGGCTTTCTACAGCTTCTCTCGAGTGGAGGTCTTTCCGCCAGCAGTGTTGTCAAACAAGCAAATTGCAGCGCCGCAAGCTGATCTTTCCCCTTCATCTCTATGGGTAGACAACTTGCAGTTGCATCCTCTCGTTGTCACAACTCTCTTTAAGTCGAATCTCCCCCGTACGGCGTGGCCTCAGTGTGCACGTTTACCCGTCGCTGTTGTCTAAACACTGCAGTGCCTACCAGCTGGTGGTGAAGGAGAACCGGCAGCAGCAGCAGCAGCAGAAGCCAAGGGTGCGGCGTGACCTGGACCGCACGGTGGGCTCGGCAGTGGCGGCAGCAGCAGCAGCAGCACCGCCCTCGCCTGCATCGCACCCTGCCGCTGCTGCGGCGGTGGCGGCTGCCGCCTCGGGGGAGCGAGCCGCGTCCCGCGGCGACGCCGCAAGCTGCTTCTTCGAGCCCATCGGCTTCCAGGCGGCGTCGGCGCGCGACTCGCCGCACTACTTTGCCGCCGAGCTTCCCCCGGCCGCGCTGCCGAGCCCGTCGCGCTTCGTCGTGGGCGACAACCGCACGTACAACGGCTTCTGGAACGCGCCGCTCACGCCCGAGAAAAGCTACGACGTGTACTTCCAGGCTGTGAGCCAGTCGGCCGGGGTGAGTGCGGCCGGCGCGCGGGGAGCGGAGCGCCCGAGCGTTCGTTTCAGTGCTGCCGCGGTAGACGGTAAACTTGAATGACGGACCTGTGATTAAAATGAACGTTTGACTTAGAGCAGCGCCGGTTACGTGTGCGCTAAATGAAATTTTGAAGACACGACTGAAATTCCGCAGGTTGTTGTTGTTGTCGATTCGACTAAAAATACCAAAGTGCTGCCCCGAAATGAACACTGTGCAATTGGTTTCAGCTTTCAACTGACCTCGTAGTGCTCTAACTATGAACTCATTCTACGTTGTTGCAGAGTATTTATTGTTGTTTGTATTAGCACATTGTCTTCACATACACATATATCTATATAGTCTATCACCCTATTGGCTTTCCAGACCAATATTGTCCATCAGAATTTGTTTAAGCAAGTAAACTCTGAACCAGTTTTAACATTCTTAGTCATATCATAAAAGTCAGTCACTCGTTAAGCGAATGCTGCTTGCTTGCCAGGTGTAATTGGCAAGAGTACTCGATCTAAACTACAAGGGCCTGTTTATAGCTCAAAGCAATATTGTAAACTCATTATGCATGGTTGTTTTCTGAATGTTACAGCAGCGTGTACATGGGGTTACTCACTCACATAGGAAGGGTCCGCTGGTGTTGTTGCTCCTACTAATGTGTTTGTTTGATAAGAGATGTAGTGGTTGCAAATTATACAATGAAAAAAGGCCATTGAATCACAATGTTTATTCCATTATCTCTGACTGATAACAGCGAGTATGAATTGTTACTGGGGTTTTTTTAATGGCATATTTACAATTTTAGATATTTATTTTGCTCCTACTGGGCAGATTGAATTATTTATATAACACAATTGTTCCATTATAAATGAACCAAGGGATACAATTACAATGAAAAGAAGAAGCAAAGTAGAAAGCCCATTTTTGCAATGACAATTTTCTCGGTGTACTCTGGGAAAAAGGAATTGTATCTCGGAAAATTTAATATAGTTGGGATTTTTTTTTCATTGTGATACAATATACATTTTGAGTGTTTTTATAAAAATAAATAATACTGCCAAAAAATGGAATAGCTACATAAACTAGTTTGCAATTAATGAAAATTCTCTTTTCTTTATACCGTGAATTTTATGGCGAAAAATTTATGTTGTGTGGTAGTTCAGCTTTTTTATTTATTTATTTATTTATTACTACTGCACAATCATTTATGAAGGAGAAATGACCGTGTACCTGTACCCTTTGTCATAAAAGTAAGATGTATGAACAAACATGATTAGATTTGCTAAGCACTCTGGCTCAATCAATACTAATTACAGACAATGCAATGGTCATATCGACCTTGTATACCGAAGGAAGTTTACAAAATTGAGTGTGGAAGTCCCTTACATTCCTCGTCTCGTTCCATCGCAGGAAATCAAGATCGACTGCGTACGCGTCGGAAGGAAGGGTGAGTTCGGATGCCAAATTCTCCCACCCCCACCCCGCCAAAAAAAAATAAGAGACACAAACTTTTAAGTGCACACATGATAGAACTTGCTACCTGGAAACCAGGCACGTCTATTAGTCTTTAATCATAAACAAACCTCGACTGCCAAATGCATTTTTCTTCTCATCATTTTGCCCGCGAGCGTGGTGCGTGCGCTTCCACGTTTGGTGCCGCATTACAGGCTGTCAGCCCTGCGAGTCCGGCTGCCTCGTGATTGCTCTAAGTGCACGCGGAATGCAAAGTGTGCGCGCGGCATCAATGATTAAAGCCATGAGTTGCGTTAAGCTTAATAGTCCACGGCTAACCTAACGCGTCTCTCGCGTACGTGTTGAGACTACAAACGCAAACACCTAATTTAATTTGCGTTGTGTTTGATAACACTAAAGCGTGTGTTGAATATGCGTTGACGACGTTTTATTCTGCGGGGGCGCTGACCTTCCTTTTTGTTTGTGGAATGTTCTGTCCATTGTGTGTGCCTTTTTCTTTATCATGCCTCTTGTTGAAATGTGAGATCCTTTGGAAAAATAAATTAAACGGTATAATGCGTTGGGCATATGTGCAACTTGTTAGCATTACCCAAGTATATTTTCATCATACCAAAAAATACATATATCCTTGTAACTATTTGAACGTCTTAAGTATCAACTGTAGAGACTACATCCCTTTTATTCTTGTTCTGCCAATAGACACTGCACTATTGTTGACAACGTGTGTCACGTAGAAAGCATTATGATCTCTATTATCCATGAAGTTAAGATATTGTTTCCACCCCCCACACCCACCCCCCACTTTACTGTCCATGATGATGTTTGTGTCCTATTCGGACACAGGTGGCTGCTGTCTGTGGGGCTGAATGTATTGGCGGAAGGCATGTCCGCACAGCGGTTTTAGGTGTAATTGGCCAGCAAAGCCCTTTTCAGCTGAAATCAGGTCGTTCATTTACTTTGCTTCTGCCGTTGCTCGGTCCTGGTCTCCAGCTGTCTCGCGTGTGCGAAAGCGTCTTCAATAAAAGCTCAGCAAGAGAGCTCTTCTGTGCCTTAACAGTCAGCCATCAAAATGCACGTGGAACGGAACTGGATAGGAGGAGTACAGCAGCGTGCCCTCTGGCTCTACATTTTCAGTTTTTTTACTCACCCATTTTTTTTCAGTTAACACTGCACAGTGGGTACTATGCTAATTGTTGGATGTTTTCGCTTTTAAACGTGTAATGTTGAAGGCTTTATTCCATTCTCAGGATTAAAATTCAAAGATGCAATGCTGTTATTAAGGTTACAGGGCATAATTTTACGTGTTAACATGAGAAATATAAACCACTGCCTGAGTTTTATTTCATATATATTAACAAATTGTAAACCTCTCAACCTCCAGCTAAGGAGTTCAAAATAAATCTTAATTACGGTTGACGATTAGGCTATTAGTTTTTTGTATTTTGCACTTGAGCTGGCCATGAAAGGAACACTAATGCTACCATAATGGTAATATCCGTAAAGATGCATGAAGTTAACATGCTGAAGCCCTTTATGTGTAACAAAAGTAAATCCTGTGCTATATACAGCAAAAAAAGAACAATGTAAAGGTGCAGCCATGAAATTGCTTGCCTCACGCCCCGCCATGCCGAAGGGCCTCCACTAAACCGCTATGGCCATGGTGTCCAGGAAATTCGACGATGATCCGTTTGCTCAGCTGCAACAAGACTTTTGACTTTCGATTTAAAGCTTTTGTGACTGCAGGGATTCATCTTCTTGGTTCTTTCGGTAAAGTCACGTAGAATCGAAACAATAAAATAATACAAATAAAACATAAAATAATTCTCACGACTTGATATGCAAATTCCTTTGTCAAGGCGCTCTTCCCCCTCCAACCCAGCTTAAATATACGCTGCCAAGCCTGGTGGTGTTTCATTCAGACGCTGTCTTTCTGACAGACCTGTTCTTCACCTGAGGATGGCTGCTTGCGTTGTGGCCGAAACGTCGTGAGAATTATTTTATTATGCTTTATTTCTATTGTTTTATTATTTCCATTCTACGTGACTTTACCGAAAGAACCAAGAAGATGAATCCCTGCAGTCACGAAAGCTTTAAATCGAAAAGAGAATGGTGCTGTTTGCCGCTGGCTGCTTGGCATTATTGGCCTCCTGGGCACTTGTACTCACCAACCGACAAAAATGCCCCAGAAACTCGTTGCGCTGTACCGCTGCTGGCAGCTGTCCCTGTGCGTGGCAAAACGTTTGGGCACTGGGCATGGGTCGAGCAGTAGAGGGGCAATGTTACCGTGTGTATGTGTGTGTGTTTTTAAATCCTTTATTAAATCCTTTATATTAAGTTCACTTGCGTGCTTGCTTGCGTGCTTGCTTGCTTACTTTTGACCTTGCTTCCAAATACAACTGAAAGATGCAAACCTTGTTATTAAAGCCAGCGAGACTGACCTCAGGGTGCTATCTGGAACGCGGACAATTAACCCCCTCTCCCACCCATTGCCAAGATTAAGTCGTTCGACCCTCAACAAATTGAACTTGCCGGCAAGTTTAAATACCCAGGCGTAATCCTCAATCACAAGATATCTTCCGTTGCACGTATCGATCAAAGTTGTCTCCACACTCCCTGACCTCTACCCCTGTCTCTTCCAACCGCTCTCTATCCCGGGCTCCCACAACGACCCCGCTTTCGTCACGGGGTCCCCCTTAAGTACCCCCGTGAGACATGACGTCATCGCACCACCCAGCGCGCATGACGTCACGTCCCCATATTACTCCTCTACACAAGGATAAATATTTGCCTCGTGTACAGGGGCCGTCCATAAATGACGTCACGCACTGGGGGGGGGGGGGGTCAGACATTTGTGACGATGTGTGACGAGGGGGGGGGGTTGAGAAATGCGACGTCACATAAAAATGCGCAACTTTTAATAAATGTAGACAACACGTTCTACTTAATTAAATAGACTTTTAAATAAATGTTTTCTCCTACAACAGAGTGCAGCGCCACATTAAATACACACTACAATGACAATAGTTTAAAGCGATTTGGAGCATGTTAAAAAAAATTGTGACGTCTATTTGAGGGGGGGTCTGACTTTTTGTGACGCCGTGTGACGAAGGGTGGGGGGTCAAAAATCGTCCAAAATCACGTGACGTAATTTATGGACGGCCCCTTCGACTTGAGATGGTATTTCACAGGCTCAATGCAGGCAGAGGGATAGACACACGGGTCCCGTTGTTCCTCCATGCACTCTGCTTTGCCCTCAATGCCCCCTACAGAAGCCATCGCGGAGAACTTAGTTTGAACTCGAAGCAACCTCCCACCCTGATCTTTGCAGGGGAAAGGCATTTGGCTATCTCCACCCTCGAACCATCACAAAATAAGCATTGAAAAATGTCTTCTGAATAAAATAATCCGCCAGGTACATTTCTGTATTCATTCTAGATTTGAAGCTTTCGTGACTGCAAAGATTCATACTCTTAGGTTTTTTTTCGGTAAAGTCACGTAGGTAAAAAATACAATTAAAAGCCGTGACGGTCCCAACCTGATGACGGAGACTTGTGTTGCCTCCGAAACGTCGTGATTTATTATTTTATTTTATTTCCATTATTACTTTTATTAACTTTTCATTTTATTTTTTACCTACGTGACTTTACAGAAAAAAACCTAAGAGTACATTTCCGTATTATTAGAAGCTCCTCTCTGTCCCTGGCTCAAGGGCCTCTAAGATGCCTACGATGTGAGAACAAAACTTGATTTAAATTCCTTCTATTTCAGTGGCCGCCAATCTCTGGAATAACTGGGCGAAAATGTTCGGGATCAAAAGCTTACCATCCTTGTTCTACTTTTAAATCACTTTTGGATCTCATTTTCTTTCCAGTGTAAATACAATTGATCGCTCTGCTTTGCAGACTGGAAGTTGTACAAGTGTTGTTTTTTTACAACCACACCTACCTCAGTGCTGTTTTGCACCCAATACTTTGTGTAAGTGATGCGTTCTACCAGTCTTGTTTTTTTTTTTTTGAACTGGTTGTACCGTATTGCTGTACGACCTTGCCTTTCGAAACTTTACCACGTACATTTGTTTTTGGATTATTATGTTTTCTGCCGGGTAACCAGGTTCCCATCAGAAATGTGCATTGCCCAATGGGGTTTCACCCGTGCCAAAGTAAATAAATAAAATAATAAATGGAGCTAGAGGACATTTCACCTACTCTATCCAAGCCGGCAAAGCACCTTCTACAGAAGTGAGATGACCCACACTTAACGACGCCACGTGCAGCCTGCCGATATCCAGCAGCGGTGGTGTCCCCACAACACTGCCGGGCAGATGGAGGTGGTGGGAGGGGATTTTAGAAGCTTGGGCCACTGTTTCAACTGCTGCATTGGGAGAATGAACCCAGTGACCTTTGGCCGTGCGCCAACTTTGACACCACGGCAGAATAGACCGCACCACGTGAACGAAACGAGCCAGACGCAGTTCCGCGTGAAGCGAGACGCACCTTCGCTGCTCGCGATGGCAAAATGCATTTGCGCTGCAGAAACAACGTACTTGTGAGCAATACGTTTAGCTGGAGGCATATTATATTTTTGCGACGTAGAATTGTAATGTATGACTTACTGTTAGTAGCTCAGTTTATTGGAGAGTATATTTAGTATATTGATGATACTGATGCAGTTTATATTTTAGTTTTTTACGTGGTGGTTTAGCTGCTGCAGCCTCTTACTATTAAAATTCCTTCCCTCTATTACTGCTAACCCTACTCCCTCCCTTTGATGCTGCTAATCCTGCATACTGCATAATGCACGGGCATAATATGACTTTGAAACCCCCCCCCCCCCAACCTCCTACGCATTCCACAGGTAGTGACTAATCCCATATCTGCATTTCCCATAAATATGCTAAATTCTTATTGATATTATTGATATGTCTGAATGGGCGAAACGTCGTGAGAATTATTTTATTATGTTTTATTTTATTAT